AAATCGTTTTTGTTTTTTTAACATATATTTCTAGTTAGAGAAATTTAAGAGGCTTATCCCTCAAAACTGTAAATACAAAAAAGTTGCACAAAATAATTTCCCACCACAGGAAATTTATTTTGAGTGTCTTTATAGTTTTATTTTTGAAATACACCAATTTTCATATACTGCAAGAAAAATGAAAATAAATATTATAGTGCAAATTTGCAAAATAACAGCATATGCATCAAAATAAACTATTTCCAGCAGTGCAATATGAGTCCTAAGCATCCCAGAAACAACACAGAAAGTCATAAAGTCAAACATAACTTTTAAAAACACCAGTATAGGCTCATGAGGCCTTTATGGTAAAATAAAAACTACATTTGACGTCACTTCCGGTTTCGGGCAGGTCATGGCGGACATGCGATAGTTCGCGCTGATGGACGTAGGAAGTGTTACAAACAGCTGATCGGATTGGCAAAGCTTCTGGAATATTATGTTTTTGTTGCTGCAAGCGCTTTTTATGCAGTTTTTGCAAAGATATATGTGGAAGGAAACTGTGACCTGGGACAAGCTGATGGCATAAGATGTAAGTACAACTCCTCCCTTTCATATGCAAAAAAAATATTGCGCTAGCTCACGTGGTTGCAGTGCTACCGGGATTTAAAAATAGTTACGCAAAACAGAGCGTGCCGCTCCGACCGGCTTTAAAGGGTTAAACAGTACTACGCCATACATTCAACTAATCATCCACAAAACTACAACAATGTTTTGATTGTGCGTGGAAAATTTTATACTAAATTCCTTGGTATTGTAAAACTGAATTTATCTTTCCTCTTAAAAGGTTTTGGCACCAAATACCTGAGCAATTACACTTATTTACATGTGTAATTACAGGTGGGAAAGCAAGTTTGACAGCAAAGTCAAAGTGACGTTGAAGCAACACTTAACAGGTACACTACAGGTACTGTAGTTCTCAGTTTTTTCTGCACATGTTGCACCTAATTGTTGCATAAAATAAAATAAAACAAATGTTAATATCAGACAAAGATACCTCGAGTAAATACAAAACACACTTTTTAAATGATGATTTCATTCATTAATGGAAACAGCTTTCCAAACCTACTCTGCCCAGTGTGAAAAAGTATTTGCAACTTTAATGCCAAAACTGGTCAACAGGATTTAAGTCTAGACTTACGTGGCCTTCATTTTATTTTATCTTTTGTTTTGTTTTTTTGAGTCATTCAGAGGTAGACTTGCTCATGTGTTTTGGATCATTGTCGTGCTGCATAAGCCGGGTGTTCTTGAGCTTCATTGCACAAACTGATGGCCGGACATTCTCCTTCAGGATTTTCTGGTAGGGACCTAAAATGGTCCTCAATCAGCAAAACAGCCCCAGACCATCACACTACCACCACCATGTTTTACTGTTAATATGATGTTCTTTTTATGAAATGCTATGTTAGTTTTATACAGATGTAACAGGAGTCAAAGTTCAGCTTTTGTCTCAGCTTTCCACAGAACATTTTACATAAGTCTCGGGGATCATCAAGATGTTTTTCGGCAAATGTGGGACGAGTTATTGTGTTGCTTTCGGCCAGCAGTGGTTTTCTTCTTGGAACTCCAATGAAAGCCATTTTTGCCCAGTCTCAATGCGCTCTTGGAGTAATTTTTGTAGGTCGACTCCTAGGAAGGTTCACCACTGTTTCTATCACCGTGGTTCTTTGGAGTCCAAAGCCTTAGAAATGGCTTGTTTAACCCTTTCCAGACCGATAGATTACGTGACTCAATGGTTCAATTCTCATATGTATTTGAGTTTCTTTTGATTGTGGGCTGATTGTTTTCAAGATCTTTCACTTTGTGAGGCAGGTTCCATTTAAGTGATTGCTTGACTCAACAGGTCCGGCAGTAATCAGGTAATCAGTGCGGCTGCTGAAACTGAACTCTGCTTTCCAAAATAAAAACGTGGCTAATCACAGTTAATTCATGATTTAAGAAGTGGGGAAAAACACAGGGCTAAGTAGGTTTGCATAGTTTTTTTCCCCTCAATAAATAAAATCATCATTTAAAAACTGCATTTTGCAGTGACTCTGGTTTTCTTTGTCTAATAATAAAATTTGTTTGATGGCCTGAAATATCTAAGTGTGACAAATCTGCATTTAAAACAGGAAAGAAAGAAATCAGAAACGGGGCAAATGCTTTTTCAAGGCTACACATAGAGTAGATTCTCATGTTAATCTAAAAAACTTTAAAAAGTACCTCATATCATGACATGCCACACCCACCTCCTCATATAACAGGGTGCTGCAGCTGCAGACCAGGACAGCACATCTGCGGCCCTCCCCACGGGCCTAAACTTTTCGTCGGGCTGTTTGCTCTCTCTCTCTCTCTCTCTCTCCTTGCTCAGACTCTGACACATGCCCGCAGTGTTAACCCTGCCTAGCTTTACGCAAGGGAGTGTGCTGCTCTGTTTTCCTTTTGGTTTGTTTAAGAGATTAAGCTGGTGAACCCTAACCCAGGGAGTCCCCAGAGTTCATACCAGCAGTAGCAGAATACTCTCCACCCTTTGATGACAATGAAATTTATTTTTCACATTATTCATGTCAATCAACAGCACACATGACAGTTTGTGCACCACAGAAACGCAGGGAAACAAATGCCTTTATAAAGGTGGCTTTAAAACTATTCCAAGTATCGCTACCAATTTCAGTGAACGATCTCTATGTAAAGAGTTGGTTATTCCCGTCTCTCGGGTTGTGCCCAGGCTTTATGATGATCGCTTATATTTTGCATGCTGAAATCACAGGAGGGCCTTTGTCTGGACAACATTTACATCTCTTAACACAGCTGGCACGGCCAACCACTGGCACAAAACAAACAAGGAAGCAAGATAGAAAAACAACTCATAGGTTAAGTTACCACTAAAGAGGTCTTTTAGTGTTAAACATCAAAACAACATGGACCATTTTGGACTTTTTAAAATAAACTGAGGTCGGCTTTAAAGTAAACTTTGAATATAAAGAGGAAAAAATATCTGTTTTCACAGTTTTGGTTACTGAAAATAAATAAAGGCCAATTATAGAACAAAAACAAGATAACTGTGAGTAATGCATATTGATACACTCATGTTACTGTTTTTTAATAGTTGTAATGATATTAGTTAAAATATTCGAAACAATGTAATTTAAAGTAGAAATATTTTGTGCAGCAGAATTTTTTTTTCCTGCCATTTCAGGATATCTCACCAAATTTAAAATAATATGTATTTGGAAACAAAACTAATAAAATGAAATCAGAATTCACTCCACAAAGTATGCAGACTTTGACAGAGGGGAACAATAGAGCAGTAGAGAAGTTAGGTATGTTAGAGCATGTGATGTTCAAGGGGGCGTGGCCCTTCAGGTTGTCTCTGCAGGTAATACACTCTTCAGGTAAAGCTAAGTGACTCATTCGCACACACACCTTAAGCACAACAATTGGCACTTCAACTCTTCACCTTAAACCGACTACACTTTACGGGAATAAACTGAGTAAAGACCCGCATTTAACGAAAGAGGACTTCACAGAAGGGCTGTTACTTCCACTGCTTTTGAAGAACTGTTGAACTGTTTGGACTCAGGACCCTGAGCATTTACAATCAAATGCAAACTTGGAGCAGGACTGCATATCGGACAGATCTCCTGTTTTGATTTGCACTGTCGGGGTACTGCCTACTAATTTGTTTTCTCTGACAGAGGGAACAACGTCAAAGCTGTGCCACTACTTCTGCCGTGCAGCTTTTCCAGTAAGTAATCTATCTCTTTCTTTTGAACTGTCCATGACAATGCCAGTGGTCAAAGTGGAGAAAGACTCTCCAGCAGATACCACCTTGCTTGCCTCCAATCCTCCACCGCAGACAGAGGAGCAGCCGCGGGGTCGGAGGAGGAAGAGACCTCTCCAGCGCGGGAAACCACCATACAGCTACATTGCCCTCATCTCCATGGCTATTGCCAACTCCCCTGACCGCAAACTAACACTAGGGGGTATCTACAAATTCATCACAGAGCGCTTCCCCTTCTACAGAGACAATTCGAAGAAATGGCAAAACTCCATCCGCCATAATCTGACTCTGAATGATTGTTTTATCAAGATCCCTCGAGAGCCAGGACGACCTGGGAAAGGCAACTACTGGGCACTGGACCCAAACGCTGAGGACATGTTTGAGAGTGGCAGCTTTCTGAGACGCAGGAAGAGGTTTAAGCGCTGCGACCTGAGCACATACACTTCATATGTGCATGAAACACCAGTTTTTTCCCCCGTTCAGATTACCAGACCAGCTGCGTACACCAACTCAGTCTATCCCAACATGACACTCAGTCCCACATATGGACAGCAGCTGCCCTCTGCCTACTATCCCTCTTCTTCGCCTCCGGGGTTTGGGCACAGTCAGACCCGCATGTTCAGCATCAACAACATCATAGGACACCCGACTCCATCCAGCATGCTGGCAGGTCAAGGACCAGAGGTGATGCAGCAGCAAAGCCGGAGCTTCAGTCCCGAAGGGCTTCCGAATGGATCCAGTCCCTGCAGCTTGGGAGCTCCGGGTTTCCAGAGTCAACCGTGTGGGGGATCTGTGCCACCCCGCTCCTCTACACATCCGGCGTTCATCTACTCTGGACAAAACAGCCATTCGCACCAACATGCACACCAGGGCTCGTACGGACAGGGTCACACCCAGGGCATGGGGTACGCAGCAGGAGGACGGATCCACGCCTCAGCTCACGGCCCTGCAGAAACAGTGGACCACTACGGCAGGGTCTCCCCAGTGCAGCTGGGGTCTTTCTCCCAGTATAACAGCGCTGCAGGTCCTATTGGAAACACTGGGGGATACCTCAGACACCCCACATACCCGGGGAATATGGACCGTTTTGTTTCTGCTATCTAAGCTACTGAGAATGTAAAGCCCAGCATCTCACTACCTTTTATTTTTTGTTAGTTTTTTTTTAAACAGAGACTCGTGACGGCACCAAATGAGCCAGACATTTCTGTGCACAAAATCCAACTGCTTTATCTTTGTTCGTGACATTTATCAAGGACAAAACTGAGCAGACTGACCTCTCTTAACACCACTGTGATTTTCTGAATAATTGTAGAAACCATTTTCACTGCTGATAATAACTTACTTTAGATATCCATTAAGCTGTTTTGTTTTAATGTCTAGGCCTTTTAACAGCAAGTATGTGATTGTAAAATACATATAATTTTGTGTGCTGTTATTATTTTTTTTTTTTTTTGTTAAAACTGGAATGTGCAAGTTGAATATTTTACACTTCCGTTGAGTTTAAATGAAATGTTTGTATAAATTATTGTGCTTCGTGGTCATAGGCTTTGCAGCAAAGTGGCTTGTGTGAAAAAAAATATCAGCTTGTATTTTGTTGCCAAGTAAAAATGCATTTTTAGTTTGCTGTTCTTGGAAATAAACAATGATAAAGCACCTTTGTTCTATAAGAATAAAAGATTTTAAATTTGTGATGAGGGATTGCAGTTGAAGTAGTTGTGAAAGAAGAAATTTACACTATACGAGTCATATTTGTATCAGCTATAAGTGAGTTCTAATTTTAAGTCTTATAAAGTAACGAGGGCCAAAAGGTCCAGATAAAATTAAAGCAGGAACACACACACAAAAAAATAAGCTCAATCCTCTCTTTCCTTTGTGCTTCTAATGCTTTCTGGGTCAGCTCAGCCGGTTTGAAGTGCCGTCTGGAGCCACACCAGTAACCGTGACCGGTCTCAGCCGCCATGTCGAGACACCAGTGCAGCACTTGGCCACATGCAAATCCACTAATCAAGAAAATGAATACTCGCCACTCGATGCTTCATGCCTTTGGGTTAAGACCACATAATACCAGAAACCTCTTCCACACAAAGCCTGCAAATCGGACAAGATGAGACACAAAGAAAACAATTCGAGCTAAGACGATTGTTTTTTTTTTAATTAAGAAAACAAAAGGAAACCTTTGGTGATGGATGCAGCTTGCTTTTATCTCCATTTTAAAGTTTTCTTTCACCACTTCGTGCTGTGAAAACCCTTGGAATAAATAGATAAGTTTCTTTCATGGCCTTGTAAAAACAACAAAAAATGGAATACCACTTTATTTCAACTCTGTCGCTTACTTTGTTGCACCTGGGATTGGCACACACCTCCTTAAAAAGCAGAAGATGTGGCAGTAACGTGGCATTTACACCCACTCAGCAAAGAAAAATCATTTTTAATAGCATCTTTTCATGAAATGTGAAAAAATAAATAATAATAATAATAATAACAATAATAATAATAGTAGAGAACCTCAGAAGAGTCAAATAATTATTTTATTCTCAAAAATACAAACATTTAGAAGGCAGACAAGCTAAAACATGAATAAACACACACGAGGGAAATAAACACATCAGCCAATGTATTCTACGAGCTGCTGGAGCTGTTCACAGTTCTTCACAACTGCCGGCAACGACAGCAAGGTCTGTGAGGCAAAAAGGAAAAAGCAGCACATTATGGCAAACATCCAAACACACGCTGCAGTTTACAGAATATGTTCCATGGTATGAAACATTTCTCACCTCCCGAACTCTGTTGATCATGTTGTTTAATATCTGAAGCTCGTTCTCACTTTTCTGCTGGTTGCTCTGATAGATGATTTGCTGTAAGAGATGAACATCCTCATGAATGCTCACATGGCTGGCAATAAGACCATCTAATGTTCCTCTAAGTCAATAAATACAGTGTGAATGCTGATATGTAGTCAGGAACGCGATTGATGCCGGGTACGGTCAGGACTTACATGTCTCTTTGCCCTTTCAAGAATTTTTACTTTGGCCTGCTCAGCTTCTTGAAGACTGGCCTTCAGTCTCTCCACCTAGGGATCAAATGGAAGAAGTTTATGAGAAAAGAGGAGGAGGGGGGTCCCTTTAAGCTGCAGCGTTTCCTCAACAACAGGCTGAAAAGTCAAGTTTACTTATAAGCACATTTAAAAACAGCTGCTGTTGACCAAAGTGCTGTACAACTTAAGTAACATAATAAAACCATAAAACTGATCTAACAAGAAAACGTGAGTTTAAAAAAAAAAAAAAAATCCAAATTCAATTTTAAAACTTGAAAACTATGGAAATACATAATAAATAATGATTCTGATAAATCATACCTCTTTCAATGACTTGATGTTCTCTTCCATGAAATGCTCCGGTTTAGTCGACTGGCCGCCAGCTTTCCTCAGTTCATCCCGAAGGAATTCAGACTCCACCTTCGACTGCTGGAGAGCGCGACGAAGCTCAGTGATTTCCCTTCTCAATTCCTGGAGAAAACGTTCATTTGCATTTAGACAATAATAACTACAAGAATACGAAGTAGCTTAGAAACACTGGCAGTATTATTTTGGTGCCTTACATTATTGTCAGTCTTCTGTTTATTTAGGATTTCCTGTGTGTCTTGCACTTCAACTATCAACTTAGCCAGCGTTTTCTCATCCTGAAAAAAAATTAATGAAACTTCAGCGTCAGCATTTTTCTCTTCCATCGGTCAGCCGTCCTCCGCACCCATCCTGATCTTTCTTATCACAGATGAATAAAGGACAAAAGATGTCCAGCAAAAGTCATCCTTACCTGAGTTTTCTGCTGCAGAGCCTGATTTGCCTTCTCGACCAGCTGACTCAGACGGCTGAGTTGATGCTTGAGCTCAAAAACCTCAGCTTTATGTCCGTTCTTTGCAGCACGCTGCTCCACCTGCAGGCCACAGCTGGAATAACACATCAGATAACAGTTGGGGGGTTTTAAAAAGAAAAAAGCAACAAGATAATTGGATTAAATTTGATGTTAATGTACAAAACAACAACTTTCAAAAAAAATTTATTTCACACTTGGTTTTCATAATAATAATAAAAATAATAATAATTAAAAATAAAATAAAAAAAGTACATTACAGCTTACATTTGGCCATGCAGCTCCTCCAGCTGAGCGTCTCTGCGCTGCTGCACCAGCTTCAGAGTGCTGACGAGCTCGGTGACGGTGCTGCCCAGGCCAGTAAGCAGCTCCGCCAGGTGGCTCTGCTCCTCTTCCTCTGGTTGAATCTCGACTGTGCTCATATTCTTTTTAGGAGTGATGGCTGCGATGCGGGTGAAGGCGCTCGTCCCACTGAACAAAGCTTCACGCTGTGGCTCGAGAGTGTCTGAAGGGACTGAAGAGAAAGTAAAACTTAGTTGTTTTTTTATTATTATAATCACATTTTAGACTTTTATTATCTGTTCCATTTTTTTATTACAGTCCCTGGTGGCTGTGCAGATATATTCCCACCTGAAAATTATTCCTATAAGAAAAACTTTGCCCACTACCTCCTTTATCCAAGGGAAAAACAGGATGAATTGAAGTGCATGTGTAGCTCATATAGAAAAGTTGGTAAGAAAAGGAGCATTGAAGAAAGAATTTTTATATTATGCAATCATATTATTGATGCCTCCTTGAAAAAAAAAAAAAGACCCAGTTCTTTGTTTTTTGGTAATGCACCACTAAGCCTTCAAACAATGAAATTAATACCTCCTTTTCATAAAGGAGACACATACGACATGCTGAGCATGTATTCAAATCATGTTTGAGACATTCAAATCACACTGCTCTCTGAGGGAATCTCAGCGTGACTATTTAAAGAGACTTGCTTGCAGCTGCTTAACAACATAATTACGCTGGACCACATTACAAGTGAACTAAAAACTTTTTGAATTTGGAATTTGAATAGTTTGATCTTCATCAAACTACAGACAGCGTAATCTGTATAAACAAACAGCTGTACTTTCCATGTGAAAACACACAGTGATTATTCACAGGCCTAAAAAAAGAAAGTGAATCTCCGTGCTAACAACTTTCACAGAAGTCAAGTGTCAAGTGTGGATTGTGGTTTGCAGGAGGTGGCTCAGTAACACAACTATGTAAAGTCTGGTTACTGAAAAAGCCTGTTCTTCTTAATGAGGAGTCGCAGCATCGTAGATGAAGCGTTACAAGCTAGAAAAGGTGCTCATCACTCCACAAGTGGATGCAAAGATCCCCATGGCAACTTGTAAGGCTAAAGAAAACCCCAAAAATAGGAGCATATGCATGAAATCTCATGTGTCGACTTTAAGGAAGATACAGCAAAGGAATGTGCTGTTATCCAAAAAAACAGGTCACTATGGGACGATGTTATGTGGACAAATGAAATGACGAGTCTGGAGGAAACATGTCATCACACACCACCAGGAGGGATCAGCCCGGGTGCAACACTGGGGTCTGACAGTTCAGGTATTGGCTCAGAGTCTTGACCTTAACCCAGGTGAGATGTGGTAACCTGATCAACTGAAAGAGTGGAAGCTTCATTAGCAGTTACAATAACATCTGATGGAGCTTGTTGCTACTAAAATGAGATTCTATAAGTGACTAAATTCAACCAGCTCAACCATGTTTTCCAGCTTCAACTCTGTGAGTGAGTGAGTGAGATGTAATCAGAATTAGTGCCTCCTGTTGTGTTTAGGATGAAAAACAAATGCTGACACGTTATATTTTTTTAATAATCAATTTAAAAGAGAAAAAGAAAAACTAGCATGTTACTTATGAGTGAACTGACACACATGGGGTGAACAACAGTACCTGTTTCAGCAGGAGTGTCTGCTTTGACCTCTTCCTCTCTCTCGGCAGTTGATGCCACCATGATGCTGTCGACAAAGGAGGCACAACGCTCCACGCTGTGGACTGACTGAGACTCTTCACACATCTGTGGTTTCTGAAAAGTAAGACATTTAAATCCAAGTGGGAAAAGACATGCAGTACTGCATCTATAGCATAAGTTCAATAGTAAATGATGTTACAAGATGATTTATAAATGCTGTAAACAGTTGCTTCTGATGTCCAAATTACAACTGCAAATGTCAAGAGCTCATGGCCACAACAATGCATTCTTTTAATTTCAAAGAAATTAAGCTTTGCATACTCTATGCATTTGACTTTACTTGTTGCAGATCATCTGCACATACAGTGGAGTCCATATCAGGGCTCAATTAAACTAACGCCTGTGAAATTGAGCTTCCAGCTGCATCATTTCACCATTACCAAAACTAGTAAGTTTAGACAGGCAGTCACTAAGCACTGTACACGAAGGTTAAAATAAACAGAACATTAAGTAATAAAATGGACAATATAAAAAATACAAAGGATTAATTGTAACTATGCTATACTAGGCTGTACAAAGCAAACAGAAAGGGGAAAGAAGCCTGTAACAAGTACTGATATTCAACGAGCTCCATCCACAGACCTGTGAAATCGAGTTCAAGCACATGAAACAGCGTGTGGAACAAAGTTCTGCTGGGTTCTGATTAGGGGCCGGTTTAAAAAACATAACAATTAGAAGAAGAAAAAAAAAAAGATTTGACAATTTAAATCGAAATCCTGAAACTGACTTAAATATAAACATATTTTGCCAGAAATGTCAGAATCTCAGCTAAAACCTCACAAAACCATTTCAACAACCACCAAACAACTAAAACAGCAAAAGATTAAAGACCAAGAAAAACAGGCTCCGCAAAAGGATATAAAAGCTAAAAGCCGGCAACTCACAGATTCTGAAACTGACCAAAATTCACTGAACCAGCACCAAAAGATCAAAACTACACTTCACGTACAACTCCTTATTTTTACCGTTTTGCTTCCACCACAATTAAAAAATAATAATAATAATAATAATAATAATAATAATAAAAATATCGCACTCTCTCTCTCAGTGTGCTCGAGAGTTTCCAGTTTCCAATCAAAAGTGTTTATTTTCTACTTTATTCCCGTGCATATTACGCACCGGTCTCCTGTTGTGGACAGTGTTGTCTGCCTCTCTTTTTTGTTGTTCGTTTTCCCCCAAAAAAAATAACCGACAAGAAACCCTAATTTCTGCTTTTCAATACTGAAGAAATTTCAACAAATTTCAAATGCTTAACTATGCCTCTAATAAAGCGTCTGTAACTTTGCTCTGCGTCACTTCAGCAGCATCAGGTAATGTTGAGATGCTGTTTCTTCCGTTCTTGATCTACTGCAGAATATTTTCAAGGGGGTTACATGCTATAACAGACCGGGCCAGGAAAAACTGGCATCTGCTGTGGTGCTTACACCTCTGATTAAGTCTCACAAGTGTCAGCTTTATTTTTATACCTAGAAAGTTTACATTGAGTTTATAATTCCAGAGAAATACTCAAGTCGCTTTGAGTGTGTCATTTTCAAGCAGGAACCTCAGAAAAGCCCCTGGGGCTTAACAGGTTAAATAAAAAGTGCAATATTGTAACTGCTTTAGATTCTTTTCTTAACTTCCAGAAAATATGTATTGAATTTTGAGGGCTCTTTCGACAGTACATACCCAAGATAAATGATCTTGGATGATAATATTACTGACCAAGTCAAAATCTAACTGAATCGAATCAAACCTTGTGAATCAGAATTGAATCGGTTGTAGGAATCAGTGACAATACCCGGGCCTAGTTCTGATATTGTTTTACCTTTTCATCAAGTTCATCATGGAGCTTGTTGGTCAGTCCCCTCAGTGTGTGATGCAGCAAAGTGATTTCCGTGACCGCCTGAGCCATCTTCTCTTCAAGCTCCAGGTTTGCTGTCCTGGCTCTGGACCTCGTGGCTTTTAGTTCTTCCTGCAAATTCCCGTTCTCAAGCCTCCATCACACAAACACACAGAGGCAAGTTATCATTCAGTGTGCCAACAAAATGTTAAACATCATGAGAACAATTTGCAAAGATTTATTATTACAAACATAAGGCCATAAGGCAAAAGACTCCAATCCAGAAAATATGTGAGTATTAATCCTTGAACATTTTACAGTTTTTCCTGTTGATATAGACCTGCCCCCACAGCCATTCATACTACACCAGCGTAGTTAAGAACTAGAAAAGTGGGCTGTATGTAGCCCTCGATGTAAAATGAGTTTGACATCCCTGATCTAAGAAACTGAGCACAGACAGACAATTTTGTTTTGTTTAATCCGAAAGTTTTTTCAGGCTCGGTTTGGGCTTTTCAAGCACATCACCCTCAATGGCTTATTTATACTTACTTAAGTTGACAAACTTCTTTCTTCAGGTCCTCACACTGGATGTTCCTCTCCCGAAGGCTCTGCAGGTTTTCCCTCAGCATACGCTCACTTTCTGCCATCTGCTCCCTCGCCAACTCGTTTTCCATCTGTAGGAACTGATGCACACAGACAGCAGGAAAATTAAACCTAACATCCTCCCCTCAAGGTTAAGTCGCATATTATTCCTGTAATAACCAAACGCCTCATGCTTCTCTGGTGTTAAATGAGACAGATACCCTCTCTAATGCTCACCTCGTTCATTTCCCGCACGCCACTGAGCTGTGTGCAGACATCCTGGAGCTGCTGGATCTGCAGACTCTGAGACTGTGAGAGGGACTGCAGCTGACTGAGCTGCTCCTCACTCTGAGCCAGAGCCCGACTCAACTCGCACACCCGCTGCTCCGACTGACCCAGTGATGCCTCCAAGCTGGACAAGGTCAAAAAGAAAAAACACAGCAGTATTCGGATATATACTGCAACATTTATGTAAAATTATAGTAAAAATGTAACCACTGGTTACATTTTTCTTCTTCTTTTTTTTTTTTATCCTTTACTATTAACCAACACTTACTCATTTGCTCGATCTTTAGCCTCTTGTTTGTCTTTCCACGACTCCTGCAACCTTGAATAAAAACAAAATAAGGCATATTTTAAAGCACATGCTGCAATTCAGGGCTTTATTTTGCCTTTCAAAGTTTACCCTGTTAACAAGTAACCACCAACCCAGTGTTCACTTCCATTTTTAAATTTCTAAGCTTGATTTCTGTCATCAATAAGGAGCATCATACTTTGTAGTCTCAGCAGCCAGGGCCTGCTCCAAGAAAGTGTAGGATGCCAGCGTGGAGGAAACTGTAGCAGACAGCTCCGTCACCTTCCTCTCTAGCTGACCCGTCTCTTCTTCTTTTTCAGTCAACTTCTCTCGCAGTACACCCATCTCTGGATTTATTTATTTTAAAAAAAAGTTTAAGTCCATAGGTTGTCAAGAAAGAAAGCATTTTGAAAAAGAGGGAGCGAAATAGCCAGAGAGTTATTTCAGTTTTTACCTGATGTCAGAATTGTCACCTGCAGATTTAAATCTCCAATCTGCTCCCTGGCAGCTTGGAAATTTGAATGAGTTTCATTCAGTTCTTCTTCAATCTGTTGAGTTTTTTGTTTTTTTTAAAGCATATAAATAATTTTAATCAGACATGTTGACTGATTAAAGTACAAGGCTGTAAATATCCTGAATATAACAGATGCCTTACCTGCTCTCGCTCTTCAACAGCTTGGTCTCTTGCAGAAATGTGCTCATCTCTCTCTCTCAAAGCAGCAGCAGCTTTCTCGTTCAGCTTCAGGAGCATGGGAGCCGTTTTGTGCAGAAGGCTCCTGACCATGAAGAGCTATAAACAGATGGCATTAGCATCAACACATTATCACATTTTAACAGAGCAGTAAATGCTCTAATAGTAAAGGCTGTATTAAAGCACCTAAAGTTTCAACTAAACAACATTAGAACACATTAAATGGAATTTTAAACCGAAAAAAAAGGTACACTGCAAGAAGAAAAAAATAATAATAATCTTATCACTAGATGGCAGTAGATTACAGCCAACTGAATTCTGTTTTCTTACACCACCTAATTCAAGTGCATAATCGTAGCTACAGTGCCCACTATAGGATATACACGTTTATAAAATAAACATAAAAAGACAAAATATTGAGCAGAACCCCAGTGACTTCTGTGTCACCTTCATAATCTCCCTTTCTGCAATTCCTTTAATCTGCTGTGCCAAGATCTACTCTTGTTTTATCCAGATGCCGGTCACATCGTCTCTTGCGTTCACATTTTCACTCCTTTAGTGAAGAAAACCACTTCTCAGATGATAAAACATAGGTGTGATCTTTTATATCTTGAGTCTGAAGGTGCAGACAGAAAATGCAACTTGCCTCCATGGCACAAGACACGAACGGCAACAAACAGATATGGAGCTTGTCTGAGTCTTTGGCGTGCTATGTATGCAGCCGGTCTGTAGCCACATACATAAAACATGATTAGCTGATGTCCATCTCGGCCACTGTGTTCAACATGGCCAGGCAACACAGGCGCTTCCACAAACCAGCACATGCTCCTATGTATTTTATTTCCAGTTTTACGAGAGCGTATCAATTTGTTGGAAGACACTTCAATGTATACTTATGAGTACTGAGAATAACCTCAACCAAAAAATGACTGACTGTACCTTTAAACAGCACTATTATGTACAGGATGCTCATGTGGTGGATTTTACACCAAAGCCTCGTGTTTTTAGAAACCCACAAATTACAACAGCAGTAAACACCATTCAAACGGAGCCACTGTGCTGCTATGAATGTCACACAGATTAAACTAAAAATGAAAACATAAGAATTGGAACCAAAACACTGGTTCTTTGTTTCTTTGCCATCATATAGAAACTGCTGTGATACATGTTCATTGACTGTCATAGTTCAAGGTTTTTAGTATGAGCGTACCTCTTTCATCAAAGCGGACTGTTCATCCATGGTTTCAGACAAAAGATCTGAAGCAGAGTCCAGGGTTGCATTATAAGCCTTGTTTAACCCAACCTGCATTAGTAAAGACAAAAAAGAAACAAAGAAATTACACTCACATATTACTTTAAATACAATTATTATTGAGCTGTTTATTTTTTGGCTTGTTTTCTGTACCAGTTCTGGATAGCTCTGGTTTAGGGCGGCCAGCAGCTCTTGCTGAGACCCCACACTCTTCTCCAGAAGTGAAATTTCTGTGGCACAGTGCGTCCTCAGCTGTTCCATCGCACTGAAAGCCTGACAACACACAACCACACACACACACATTTAATACCCCTGGAACAAATAATCATCTTAAACACACAGCCAGCATAACTTCTGCAGATATTTTTATATGTTCCAGAAAAACTGTTGGTCAGCTAAAGCAGAGGTGTTTACACAGTGAGCTATGTTTAACAGACAGAGAGGTTTTTTGTGTCACAAAGGTGGCTCTCTTTTTAATCTGGCTAGATCACCACAGTAACTTATGCTAAACACATTACCTGGAAACACAACCTTTGAACTGATTCTAGTATGCTTTAGGTGCTACTTTTTGCTTAAATTGAAATAAACAGCAGCACTGAGCAGTAACATAAACACAATTTAACAATTTTACCACATTAATGATTCTCAGCAGCATTACTCTGTTATCTTATTTTTCACACTAATGTCCATTTTACTGATATATTTTTCAATAACGTTTATAGATCTCCATTACCCAATGCTCTGAGCACAACCTGCTCCAATCAGACATTCTCAATAGACTTATGCAGAAGAAGAATGGCAGATAAATGCTCCCTTTAATGTGATTGCGAACAGAGCCTGAAGCAGGAAGCCTGGATTAACAAAGAAAGCTGAGAACCAGCTTCATCTCTCACTGGGGTTTTAGGTTTTGTCAAGCCAGCTAATGCAAAGAATGGCTGGCTGTATTGAACGTGCTTCATAGTACACCCTTCTCCTCAGGAGGTTGCCGTTCCTCTACATTTAGACTAAACAACTAAAACACCCCAAAAAGACTTACTGCCTCCTTTGCTGTGAAGGCTTCTTCCATTTGAGTCCTCATGTCATTTCTCTGATGAAGAGCTTCTTTGACCTTCTGCATCATCCTGCTCTGTATGTCCTTTGATTTCTCAAGTAGAGACTTCATGTGCCCATACTAAAAACAACATGAGAAAAATATACCTCAACTGAGTTGTAGCACATAATCATGTTACACTAACAACTTAAGCCATAAATAACTGATGAATAATTACAAAAACAAGCATACTGTTTAACTTGTATGAGACAGAATGAGGTAACATGTTGTACGTACATGTGAAATGAGGCTTTGATGGTCCTCTCTGACTATGTCACCAATTTCATTCATGTTAGAGAGAGCAGCGTCTGTGTCACTTCTGACAGAAGTCTGTTGGGACAAATACACACACTTTACTCTTAGTAAAGAAAATATTGACTATCTCAATACACACACACAAAAAAAACATTCATTCAGTGAGACGTGTTTGAGCATTATATCCCAGTTTAAACAACATGAGCTGGGTGGTTGTTTGTGACTTACCATGGTGACCTTCATGTCTTGCAGACTCTGGATAAGGTTTTGTAGAGAACTCCCATCAAGCTCCAACTCCCCAATCCGACTCAAAGCTTCCACATACAGGTCTCTATACATTGTGGTCTAGATATAAAATATAAACAACTGACTACTTAAGCAGTAATTCTTTGTTATATAATGAGATCAGAGTTGAAAGCTTCTGTTTGAGGAATATTTTAAGCTGTGACATATGCGAAACTACTCTAATAGAGTCCAAAAATCTAAATATAGAGTAGAAAATGAGCATAACAGGTGCCCTTTAAACAAAATGTAGATGTCAACAGTTACCTGACTGAGTTCGGTGTGGTCTGTCTGCACGAGTTTCTCCCGGAGGTCTGAAGGAGCAGGGCCTGCAAGCGGACGTCCTTGTGCCCTCGCTGCAGTCAGCTGTTGCAGCAGGGCCTCAACCATCGTCATGCTAGACATTAACCTCTGTTCCAGCTCCTGTTTTGGGAGGGACTCCAGGCTGCCTGGAGGTAAACTGGAAAACCGGAAAACCAATGAAAGAATACTGAGAGGCAAACAAAGAAAATACTAAAAGCAGATTTAGCTTTATCTATACTCACAACTGTTGAATAAATGACCAATTTACAATGGGCACTTACTTCCAGAGGAGCGGGTCAGTCATAGTGCAGGAATCAGCCACAGAGAATTCTCTCTTCCTCTCAAACAGGCCAGAAGTATTGAGGCTGTGGTCAACCAGTTTCACAGGACTACTGCCCACACAGACACTGTGAGACTTTACAGGAGTAGCTTTGGCTGGAGGGGCAGGAGGTGGAGCAGGAGCAGAGACAGCAGCAGGGCCCATCTTTCCAGACGCCATCATGAGGAACTCTGCCATTTGTCGAAGCTGCTGCTGAAACGGACCATCGGAAATCAGTGGGAAATTCAGCAGTGGTTTCTCAGCTTCAGTCTGAGGCTCTGCAGAGACTTTCTGTCCCAAATCCTTAACTGGCTCCCTGAGTGGGCTCAGACCAGGATTCTGACCCAAGGCTGTGGAGTTTAACAGAGGATGAGGCATTGGGCTTTCCAGTTGCTGCGCCCACAACCCAGCATGGTCAGCATTAAGAGGAGCAAACAATGTTTTCTCACCCTCAATAGCAGAGTCATCAGCTGCAAACTTGCCTTGAGCAGGATCCCCACAAGTCTTTAAAAAAGACAGAGAAGCTCTCCTAACGGGACTAAACATTCCCAACTGCAAAGCTGAGGCAACCGAGGGACACTCCGACAGCGCTTTCAGTACATCAGTAAGGTTCTCTGCATGAGATTTTTCTGCACAGTTGCAAAGAGCAGGTGCATTTCCAGATGAGCCAATGGCACTGTCTTTTTCCTCACTGGATTCAGCGGGTCCTCTGGTGGAGTTCACTTCAGAGACATGCTCCTCTTGGTCTTGCTGTTGCGCTTCCACAGCTGAAGGGCTCTCTGCTGAACCTGCAAGTTGACTGCAGTCAGAAATCTGAGTATTCTGAACCACGAGAGGCAATGCACTGTCAGCAGGATTCACGGTACAGTTAAGCATTTCTTGCCCTTTGCATTTTACAGTTTCACTATCCAAAGCTTTTAAAGATCCATTAGCCACCAGAGATCTGCTAACAGCTGATGGGTCAGTAGCTACCACAGCTTCACCATTGTTCTGTTGGCTGTTAGCATCTTCAAAGGCATCTTGACAATAATCATGTGTGATGGAAGTGAACAGATTGTAATCTGTCCCCTCGGTGAAAACTATCTGGTCCTCATGCAGAAGGGATGTCTTCTTCTTGGGAAATTGGGCCTCATCTAATTTTTCATCTTCAGCTGGAATACAACAATCAGCTGTGACACCACCTTGGCTCCCAGCCTGGCTATCAGATACCACTGGGCTACCACTGTAGTGTCTGGCGATTACATCCTCAGTGCTGTCTGGATGATCAAAGTGACCAATTGTATTATCATTTTGTAAATCACAGTCACCAGCTATTTCAGTTGAATCTATGGCATAGCCATGTGTCTCACTGCTGCTAACAGTATGGTTGGCTGGTTGAACAACAGACTCTTCTCTTGGAATTTCAATCTCTCCTCCAGTGCAGTTCAGTGATTTAAAGGTCAGTCCATTAGCACGTTTTTCTGAACCACGTGTTGTCTCAGATAAAGCCTCAATGACAGGATCAACACCACCAGCATGGCTACAGTATGGATGATCAGCATGTTCCTCTTGACACTGCTGGTCAAAGTCACCGAAGCAGTTAGTCAAATTTATACTGTCATACTCTAGAGGAGCACCAAGCTCTTCTTTGGGCAGAGGAATGGTTTCGTTGTGTAATCTGGTGGCATCTGAAACTTCCACCTCACCTACATCACGAAGGAAGGATTTCCAAGTGAGATCTGCCTTTCCACTGCAGTCACTCTGAAAAGCTGTTGATTCTTCGGTGGCTTGTTTGTTTTCCAGATCACAAGAAGCCGGTGTAGTGCTGTCAGTTTCACATGGAAGTGCTGCGCTGATGTTAACAGTGTAAGTGTCACTCTTCTCGAGAACATGATAGGGATGTTCGATGTGATCAGAGCATGACTCCATTATCACACTGTCAGAGATGATGCCATCTTCAGATTCAGTGTTAGATGTACCCTGGTCCGTAGATAAAATAAGACTCTCCTCTGCATGCAGTAAAGAGCCTAATATCTCAACTTCACCACCAGCACAAGTGAAGGATTTAAATGTTATATCTGAAAGTCCACAAGCAATCTGAGTAGTTGTTGTATCAGTTTTTGGAAGATTGGTTTGTATCATTTTGGTGGATGGAGAAGAGTACAGCTGGGGTTCTTGTTCACTCAGTGGAAAATCACCCTATTAATGAAAATAAGTAGTGGTTAAAAAACAGCACCAAAAAAAGAGAAAAAAAAGACACATTATATTTGTAAGTATTAGTGTATACCCACCATCGTCATTTTGCCAGCATCGCTACTGATCTGTGATTTTGATCTGAACTTCGATGAGGGAGTCGACAAGTGCAGAATCTCATTGTCCAGACTTCTCAGAGGGGTACGCTCGCTGGATCGGCTGGAGAGCTACCATCAACAAAGGTTGAATTATCCATTAACTAATATGCTCAGAGATAACACTGTACAGTATGCACAACTGAGTACAAAAGTCTTACCAAGCCTTCCCCTGTGGAACTTGAACTCCTGGAAGCCATTACTCTGAAGTTCTCGGAAAACTATGTTTACAACTGGAAGACAAAAGATTTCATATTTTACCAGTTTGATTTAAATGCGGATTAATCTTAGCTGTAAAAACCAATAGCTCCGCATTAAAATAGTTGGTTTTCCATGCGAGTGCTAAAACAGGGTCTTGCTCCTCATACTAGAGAATAATGTGATTTCAAGCCAAGTTACGAAAGATAAACCCCAGTTCTCCTTGACTGCAAAAACTTTCCGGAATTTAATCACGATCACGAGACTTCAACAGTTTGTATAAGACAAGTTAGTCGGAACTTTTTAAACATTTCGTTTGTGCAGAGAGAGTCTGTTAAATTCAAATTAGCCCCATCATAACCCTTTGTGTGGATGTTGTCTTCTTGTTATGACGGTTTCTTCCGGGGCAGAAACAAAAGGAAAGACGATTACAGCAAACAACCATGTTGCAGAGTTTAACTGTTGTTTTACGACAATGTGAGAATGTTCTTTAAAATCCTGCACAGAGATCCACTTGTCGTGTCAAACTAGCCGAGCAGCTCACTTGGCCTAGTTGACAAGAATAGGCCATTTCAAGCATTAATTTAATAACTTCGAAAATCAATGTGAGAATTCACAGAATTCTAACATCCACAGAAAGTGTTGCTAAGAGTGAATATTGCAAGGGCGTAAACTACAGTTTAAGAGACCGGTACCAGTCGATAGCTAACCGTAAATTGCACTCCCTCTAGTTAGACTTCTAACAAAGGCACTTAATTAATAGCTTAGCTGTCCGAGGCAAACGGCCTTAAATCATGTAAAAGTATTTTACCTTTTAAATTTTACCAGCTAACTTCAACCAGCGTTTTAACAGAGACGAGGACAGGGTAAACAAATCTTGTATTGAACTACCATCCACCGCGTTTGATTCAAAAACACGAATAGCAGCACTGTTATTGGTCCATTTCTCTTCTTCGTTGGTTGAGAGAAGCACTAGATGGTTGAGATCTGTACCTTTACTCACTGCTGCCTCTTTCGGGAAAATAATGTAATTGCTCCAGCATGTTCCTTTTGCTGACAGAAAATTTACACTTTTATGTTGGCTCTTAAGTATCTTTGTTTTTTGTATTGTTTTGTTTTATGTCAGCGTTTTATTAAAACTTCGTGTCTGCATAAAAAAATAATATCTGACTCTTCAGTTATATCCACTGCCTTCTTATATATTGCTTTACAAGCTGGAAGCTATGTAATTACATGGAAAAATTGCCCATAAATCACCCTTTTTTGGGAAACAAGTGTAGGAGCAGAGAGTGATACATATGCTCCATGAGTCTGGACAATGACACAGTTTGTTTAGCTTTGGTGTCTACCAAACCAGTCATCTACCCAAACAATATTTCAGTTCTTCTTTTAGCTGTATCCCACCATCTGCCTAGCATCGTCTTCTGTGTCATCAACAATGACTGCTCTGTAGTCAAAGTCAAAATGAGCTTTATTGTCAAAGACCATATGTACAGTCATACACAGGAATCTGAAACTGCAATGTTCCCATGGCCCTCAGTGTACACTAAAACAATATAAAGATAAAAAGATAAAAATAAAATAGGAGTCTTATGTACAACACAATGCAATACAATACAATCTTATATAAAAAGTAGTGTGCAACACAATCATAGTGATTGTGGGCAAGTTTCGGGGGCTGGGGGGCGCAGTCAGTGAAAAGGCAATGGTGGTGGTTTGGGGGTGGAGGGTTCAGAGGGAAGAGGTGAATGCAGGTCTGGAGTTTGTGTATGTGAGAGGATGGAGTGAATTCAGCATCCTGACAGCCCGATGGACGAAGCTGTGTCTCAGCCCGAAGGCTCTTCAGTCTCCTTCCTGATGGCAGCAAACTGAAGAAGTTACTGGACGGATGAGTGGAGTCACCTGTAATGCAGTGAAAATGACAGCCCCAACACCAACAGCGTTTTATAGTTGTTGTTTTTTTTTTTATTTGCGCTAGTTTTTCACTTGGCAACTTTCCAGCTGCCCTGCTTGTAGCACACACAATCATACACCTCAGGTCCTGGCACATCTTTTACAGGGGAGACGTGATCAGTTGATGGAGCTCAGGTGTGTGTCAGCCTCCCCTGACACGGCACCCTGAACCCCCTTCGCCACCCCTCCCCTGCAGCTGAGCCACAAACCACACCCTGCCACAATAACATTTTTGTTTTAAATACAGTTAATAATATGCATCAAGCAGACAAATGTTTTTAAAGCCTTATTTTGGGGTAAAGTCACATTTTAAGTGTCTTTCTCATATTTGATTGGTGATGTTATACATGCAACTTTTATGATGTGGTGACCGCAGAAAATAAATATGATAATTCTTCCAGTAGTGTTTGAATGCACCACATGGCCCGAGCATTTCTGTGTGGAGTTTGCATCTTCTCCCTACAACTGCCTGATGGATGGCCTAGATTTTCAGTGTTTCATATTTTTCGGCTGAAATTGTTCCACCATGAACTCAAGTGCCCTCACACAGCTCTGCATAAAACGCCACAAATCACTTTCATGTAGTGTGTTTTTCTTCCTCTCTTAGATCTGTATTATACAATATTGGAAAAGTCTGTCAAAATGGCACTGAAAGATCAAAAGTGTGTTGAGATTATTGTGTGAATCTACAATGTAAAATACACACTTTTATAAATACTTAAGCAAGAAGCTAAAGGGATAACAAAGTACAGAGAAGCAGGAAAAGATCAATTAGGGGGGAGGTAATAGAAGCCTGATGAAAGGGAGGAACAAATAAATCATGACATTACAAGATGTCAGTGGTCAGACTAAAATGGGGTCCCTCCACATCATCTAAAGAGCCATGGACCCTTTTTCCTACTGTGCTTCTACTGTCATTGCTCACTGATTAAGTCATGATTCTGTCTGTTGAATCATTTGTTGACTCTTCCTGTCCCACGAGGGCCTCCTTGAGAGTGTTTATGAATCTTATGAGGCTCTGTGGCCCGTTTCATTGCCCAAAGACAATTATAAAACAACACAGCCTCGTTTCCACTGTCCATCCATCCATCCATCTTCATCCGCTTTATCCGGGGCCGGGTCGCGGGGGCA